GATTCATGCACTCATGCCTGACATTTCAATGTGAAACTAAGAGAACTATACAATCTAAATTAAGAGCAGGGCTCCAAGTGTTTGTGTGCTTTTAGTATCTCTTGCCATGTGCCAGTTTGAGGAAACTACTTTTTTTTTTCTTTTCTGCATGTTCAGTCCAAGTTCCATGTTGAGATTTGAAAAAAAAAAAAAACTCAAATTGTACATGGATTCTCGAAGTTGTTCATACATGAGTCTTGGAAGCGTAACCATTTGGTTCCCTTCATCTGAACCTTTGACCCTCGTTCTGGATTTCTTCACAGGAAGACTGGAAATGACAAGAAATTAAATGAATGAAACTGAAGTACAGAGTAACATGCAGAACAGTTTGAGATTGAATTATCAACAGCTATTCCAAATACTTTCCAGTTCAAACATTGTTTATAAAATGCTAAACTTACATTTCCAGTGGTCTTCAATTACATCTGTCATGTGATCTTGTCAACAATGTTTTACGATATACTTAAAGGGATAGTTCACCCAAAAATGAAAATTCTGTCATTAATTACTCACCCTCATTTCATTCCAAACCCCTAAGACCTTCGTTCATCTTCAGAACACATATTAAGATATATCTGATGAAATCCGAGAGCTCTCTAACCCACGGCGAATGCGTGTGGTGCTACTGACGTAGACCCTGCATGTGCTGCACCTTGTTTACCGGCAAAAGAACACGCACGCATGTGTCGTGGTACTCTCGTTAATGGCGGCAGACTCCCAGGAGAGAAGAAATCATTGAATGAAGTAGTTATTTTTGTTTTCTTTGTGCACAAAAAGTATTTTCGTAGCTTCATAAAATTACAGTTGAGCCACTGAGGGTCACATGCACCATTTTAATGATGTTCTTATACTACGTTTCTGTGCCTTGACTGGAAGGCCCTTGCTGTCTATGGAGGGACAGAAAGCTCATCTAAAATAAAGTTTACATTATCATAACTAGAAAATTAATGTTAAAAATTTTGAACTTAAGTTGAAACAGCAAATATTGTAAAGTCAAATGAACTTCAATAAAATAATTCAGCACTAGGCAAGATTTAAATTAGTGAGTTGAAATGACTTGAACTTTTAAGTTGATTTAACTTAGAATTTTAAGGCAGCCTCAAAACTTACGTTTTTAAGTTGAAAGGGGTGAAACATTTTTACAGTGCAGTCCAGTCTGTGCTGAAACGCTACTGTCAATCAAACTATCGTGGGAAGAGCCTGTCTGTGTGACATCACACAGACAGGCAGGTAAAAAAAAAAAAACACTGGGGGGATTTTTATCATTATAGGGTGGTTGTGAACACACACTGCCAACACACATGTCAGTTCAAACAACCATGTAGCATTTTATGACCCCTTTAAATAAAAAAAAAAGTCATTAATGGTGTCTTTTTTTCTTGA